GGATTCTCTCTCTCTCTCTCTCTCTCTCTGTCTCTGTCTCTGTCTCTCTCTCTCTCTCTGCCCCTCCCCTGCTTGTGCACATGCGCACCTCCCCTCTAAATAAACTTAAAAAAAGTAAAAATAAAAATAAATAAGTAAATAAACAAATAAATGTTCTCTCCTAAAACTATCCGGCATTTGTAGAACACTTACTAGGTGCCGGCTACTATTCTAAATGTTTACAGGTACCATGAGCATAGCGAGTACTTAGAATGATCCTACGTAATAGATACTACTATTTCTCCCATTTTCTTTAAAAAAAATTTTTTTAATGTTTATTTTTGAGAGAGAGAGAGAGAGAGAGAGCAAGCAGGGGAGGGGCAGAGAGAGAGGGAGGCACAGAATCTGAAGTAGGCTCCAGGCTCTGAGCTGTCAGCACAGAGCCCGATGCAGGGCCCAAACTCGCAGACCATGAGATCATGACCTGAGCTGAGGTCAGACTCTTAAGGACTGAGCCACCCAGGCGCCCCCATTTCCCCCATTTTAAACTAAGGCACAGAGAAGTTAAGAGACTTGTCCAAGAACACACCGCGATAAAACCAAGATTGTACCCGGACGAGCTGACTTCAGAGCCGCGCTCTTAATCACTAAATACACGGACTTTCCATGATATTAAGAATGATCACATCATTAATTAGAATTAGTAACCTCATCGGGGTGATAAGAACGGGCGAGCCGCTACATTTTGAGCAAGTGCATGATGTGTTCTCATCCTCAAACCAGCTCTCGAAGGAAGCAGAGGAAGAAATGGAGGCTCAGAGAGAGCGAGTGATTTGGTCAAGATCTCACAGGACTCGAATCCAACACCCATACCTTTTCCACCTTGATGTCCCTTGGGGGAAAAGGGTTGGGACAGGGCAGGGGAGGGGCGAGGGCCGGGAGTCTGAGCAGGGAAAGTAGAGACAGCACACGGAGCCACTCACCAGGGGACCAGGATTGGGGACCACGTTGATGTAGTCCAGGATCGTGCTTCTCCGCGTGGCCTTGGGCTTCGGCGGAGCCCCTGCCTGGGCCGGAGTCCCTGCGTGGGCCGGAGTCCCTGCCTGGGCCTGTTTCTTCCTCAGAGTCTTCCTGCCCGGGGAACAAGCCCCTTGATTGTGCGCCCTGGCACCTCCCCGGTCCCCAGCCCCGGATCCCACACCCCATCGCGCAGGCTCCTAACTCACGTGACCAGGATGAGGCAGAGGAAAAGGAGCGTCGTGATGCCCATTCCCAGAAATATTCCGCTACCCAACGCCTTTGAGAGGAGTCCCTTCTTATCTGTGCAAGGAGACGGTCAGCCAGCTCTGAGCCTCCCCCGTTAACGTGCCCACCTGCCACCGGGCGCTCAGGTTCCAGCTCCCATTCCAGGAGTTTTATCTGCAACCCCTTCTGTCCAAGTTTTGGAAACCCCTCTGCGCCCCGGACCCAGGCGACAGGCCTTCCAGTTTGGATTGCCCTCTGCGTTCCCAGCCGCAGGTGCCACGTGCACCTTCCCAGGTCCTGCTCCAACCACAGGACCTTGCCCCTGCCCCCACTCAGCCTCCACTCGTCGGGGGTGGGGGTGGGGCCTCCAGCTGGCCCGCAGACCTGGCAACGGCAGGACCGCGGCGCTCTGTTCCCCATGTGCATTCCGGGCCTCGCAGCTGAGTCTGAGACCAGAGCCCAGCGGTCCCCTGAGGCTCAGGGAGCTGTTGGCCCAGGGCCCCTCGGAGCTGGAGGTGACGGTCAAGGAAGCGTCGCTGTGGTTTTTCTCCAGCAGCCCCTCCCCCAGCCGCCAGCTCAGGGTGGGGGCCGGCCGGGCTCGGGCGGAGCAGGTGCAGCCCAGCGCCTCGCCCTCCCAGGAGCAGGAGGGGCCGAGCAGCCGCGGGGGGCCTGCAGGGGGTGGGGAGGGGCAGGGTCAGCGGCGCCTCTGCTCCCCAGGCCCCGGGCGTCTCGCCCCCGGGGGTCCCCACACTCACAGACCACAGAGAGAAGCAGGGAGACGTGCTGGGAGCCCAGCGAGTTCTGAGCTCGGCAGGTGAGGACTCCTTCCTCCGCAGCCCCGACTTGAGGCAGTTCCAGGATGTGGGTCCTGTACATGGGGGTGGCATTCAGGGCAGGGGACCCCCGGAACCAGCTCAGCTCGGCGGGGGGGTTGCCGGCAGCAGCACAGAGCAGCCGCAGGTCCTGGCCCTCCCTGATGAGAAGGGATGAGGTGTTTTGCAGAATCTCTAGGGCTTTGGGGGAGAGAGATGCAGAGAGGGAGAGAGGAGTTGGGTGAGGCCGGTGACTCTCTCCTCTTGTGATGTCCACACTCGCTCTGAGGAGGGGACTGGCAGAGTCCAAGCAGCAGGCCTGCAGTCGAGGCCGGGATGATTTGCCCGGGAGCTGCCCCACCGTCCAGCAGATGGAGGCCCGAGGGCTGAGACAGGGGATACATATGGTGCACAAACATTAACTTCAGGGAGTCCAAGTTTGTGCAGGCCTCTGGCCGGCCCACCGCTCCCTTTGTCTGAATTCAGTGTCCGGCTTCTTGTATGTGTCTCAGGCCTGTTCCTGGCCAGCAGAAGCTTGAGAGCCAAGTAGGGCTGTCCTGGCAGAGCCCGGGTTTCCACCCCAGCCACGGAGAAAAGAGGTTCTTTCCTACCTATTCTGTTTCCTTGGAAGATCCTGATGGCCGTGTTCTGTGGAGCATCTGGACAGAAGGATGAGGCTGCCTCGGCTTTCATGGCAACGGAGGAGTGGGTGGTGGGCCATTCCCCCAGGACCCGGGGCCACAGATAAGGGGATTCCCTTCCCGCTTAGCTACCAAGACCCCATTGTTAAACCACAGCCTAGCTCTGCCCTGGCCCCACCTCTCAGGCACCTGGGTGCTCCTGGCCCTCCACTCACAGGTGACATTGAGCTGGATGGTCCTTTCCACCATCACACCAATTGCAGGGAATTGCACTTGACAGGTGAGGTTGGTGCCGTGGTCCTGGGGCCGTGGGGTGAGGGTGAGCACTGAGGAGAGGCGCGTCCTGGGACCCAGGGAGGTGAAGGCGGCTGACGTCCAGGAGAAGATGGGGGACATTCCCTGCTCGCAGGCCCAGGGCACAGAGCAGTTCAGGTCCCCGGGGCGGCCGGACTCCAGGGTCCCCGGGGTAAGGATGTGAGGTGTGTGGGTCAGAGCTGGTGAGGACAGACACAATGTTGGGGCCCCTCGGTGTTTTGTCAGCCCGCCCCAGTGTCTTGTCATGCCCGTCTCCACTCCACACCACCCCCAAAAGGCACAGAACCTTCATTTTTCCATCTCTGATGCCCCACACCCTGGGGTCTTTCCCTGGGCCCCTCCCATACCTGTCACATTCAGAGAAAGCATATTATATAGATAGGAGTGTGTTTCGACATGTAAGAAGTAAGTCCCACTGTCCCCCATGTTGACATCTGTGATGTACAGGGAGCAGTCCTCGGTCTGGGGGTCCCCAAGGAGGAAGAACCGGCCCTGGGTCCTCTCATGCAGCTTCCTGTCTGGTTTGTTTGTGGCCACTGGAGGATCGTAGTAAACATCTGCCCCTTTCTGGAACCAAGATATGGAGATGAATCCAAAGCTAAACCAGGGCCAAAAAAATTTGCAGCGCACGTGGACACACAAGCCCTCCTGGACAGTCACGGACTCCTGTAGCTCCAGCTGGTAGCCCAGAACCCGAAGCAGGGGCCCTAGAGAGAGAGGGAAAGACTCAGCTCGGAGCTTCGATGCCTCCCCCAAATGGGGTTCCCTCTCCCCTCAGTTCACTCACCTCCACACAGCAGCAGCAGCCACAGCGGCATCCCTCTGTCATGCCCTGGGACAGTTTGCCTTCTGTGGCCCCTCTGACAGAGAAAGGAATCCGTGTGCTGTGGGAGGACAGAGGAAGTTCAGACAGGAAGCCTGTGGTAGGTACAAGAGGCCACAAACCTAGAAAAGAGAACTTCAGACTCACAGTCAGCTGTGATTAACCTTTGAGATAATCTGGTCTCCTTTCTGCGTGGGGCAGGCGGGTCCTGAGACTCAGAGGAGGCAAGGGTCTTGCTCAAGTAAGGCAGTAAGGAAGGACAGGAGCCCCCAAGCCCTGCCTCCTGGGCTCATGCCCAGTTGTCTGTAGCCGAGAGCTGTTAACTGGACAGAAAGCTGGTCCTGAAGTCAGGTGCGGCCGCTCACCGCTTGGAAATAAATAATAGTCATGTAAACCAGTATAACTGAAACTAATATAATACTGCATGTTAACTATACTGGAATTAAAAGAAAAGAAAAAAAATCAATACTCGAGAGATGAGTCGATGGTGCTTTATTCAGGAAGCTGGCAACCTGGGAAGACGGCACAGGAAAAGGGAGGGGAGCTGAGTGCAGGAGAAGCAGGTGCCCAAGTGGTTGGTCATGGACCTGATACATGACCCTGAACAGACTGGCTGGCATCCACGGCAGCTGTCTTCGAATGGAGTCCCGCCTCTCTTCTGGGAAAGTCTGGTCCTTCACTGCTTAAGGTCAGTGAGCTGCAAACCTCAAAGAAAGGAAGCTAGTTCTGGTACAGATAAAGGGTCTGAAGTCAGCAAGCAAGGAGTGCATTAGCTTGAAGCAAGTTCACCCTTCCAGCAGTTCAGAGTGTTGTTACAATCTCACCTGGCCAGCCCCTCCGGAGAGTCAGAGCCTTGGGACCCTCGTGGAGGTGCCCTCCTCGGGATGGCTCTCAGGCTAGCCTACATAGTGTCAGAGGTATGAAAGAGTCTTCATCTGGACAAGTAACACACACCCTCACTTATGTCGTTCATTCATTCATTCACTCACAAACTATCATAGAAAAAAAAAAAAAGGACAGATTTGAATCAGTCCTGACCCTCAACTAGTTCAAGCAGTGGGGGAAGACAGACAAGCTTGAGCTTTATCTGAAGGCAATGGGGAGCCATGGGAGGTTCTTGAGCAGGAAAGGGGCAGGATCATATAGTAATCAACATGATCCCTCTGAGGCCAGTGTAGGGAAGAGCCAGAAGGGAGAGGCTGGAGGCCAAAAGGTCAGAGAGGAAACTGTTGTGACTTTGGGGAAAAGGAAAACCCAAGCCCACGTGGAGACAGCAGCCTTGGTAATGGAAGCAAGAGTGATTTAAGACACTTTCAGGAACTGAAAATGAAAGACAGGTGCGGTGGGTGGGGGAGGGACTACTGGAGTGACTCCCGGAGCCCCACCCCAACTTCACCCTGACTTGGAGTTCTGAGACCCCACCTCTGCCCTGAGCAGCAGAAACTCCACTTGCATCACTGCTCCAGAGCAGAGTCTTTCTTCCCTACCTGCGCCATTTCCTACCAGGGCCCAACAGCGAGATTCTTATCAATATTTGGACCAGAGAATGACAACATGTTCTAATTCATTGGTGGGAAGGGGCTGGTTTTAATCCTTTGTTTGGATCCACAGAGGGGTGGTGAGGGGAGGCTGTCCGTGGGCTTTTTTCTCCTTCCTCAAGCCAGGTCTCTGGCCAGGCATCAAGTCACATAGGCCCTCGGGGACCCAGGTGTCCTGACCAGCAACAGTAGTAGGTGCTGAGCCAGGTGGTGGCTGGAGCTTAGCTAAGCGAGATACCTAAGTAGGCAATTGAAGCAACAATGAGTCAAAATGAAAGGTAACAACAAGGCCTTTAATCACACACTGCGATGGTATATCGTACAAGCAAGAAGCTAAATCAGAGAAAGCACCTCCCCTTTCCATTTCCTCCCCCCCAGAGAAAGGTGGTTGGGTGCTAAAGGGAAAAAAATATGATTGTCAAGGAAAAAATTATTTGTGACGCTTATTAAGGAAAGGCAAAGACTGTATTTGGGGCCACAGGAACCACCACAATGGGGTGTGGCAGGAGGGGAGAGAGGCCAGTACTCCACTCTGAATACAGTAAGGAAAAGTGGGAATTTATCACCAAGGAGTAGGGGGTGGGTCAGTGGAAGGAGAATTACTGACAGGAAATTACTGCAGGGGGTGGGGGTGGGGAGCTAGGGGTGGAAAGTGCAGAGTCTGGGTGGGGAAAGTGTCTTCAAGTTTTCCTCCTCCTTCCCCCATCAGGGGGCCTCAGTAGAGGCACCTGAAGAACCCAGATAAAGAGAGGTAGGAATGAAGGCAGCTGGCCCAGGGTGCAAAGCATATGACCAGCCAGAGATGTCTGAGTCCTTGACGGGAGGAACTCCCTTCTGGGATTTTGATGCACTGGCTGTCACCAAGTCTGGAGTGGGGAGGGCAGCTTCCCAGCCCCCCACCCCCACCCACAGGGGTCTGCCCTCCAGGGAAAGCCTTCATATTTGCCTATGATCAGGCCTGGAAAATCACATACATGTTTTACCCATGGGCTGACCTTCTCAGATGGTTCTGTCCATCACAGACCTAGGGAGGTCACCTGATGTGTAGTGCTGGGGTTGTGATCTTGGGATCTGAAGACATGAATGAGTACTCAGGGGTGGGGGTCTTGGGGTCTGGGGAGGAGAGAATCATCCTCTTACGCAAGCTCCTGGCAAAGTGCTAATTATATTCTGAATTGACTCTGCACTACATGTTAGAAGGGTGTAGACTTGGGGTATCTGGTACAAGCTGGAGAAGAGGAAAAGACTCAGACCCTGGAGTGTGATCCTGGGTACAACCTCTACAGTGTCCTCTTCTTCTATGAGCCTCAGGGCTCTGTACATCTTCCCCACCCTCTAGATAAGGAGATGAGTTCCCATCTCTGGGGTTCTTTCCTGGGGAGCTTTGGCTATTTGTCATGTTCAGAGACAGTCTCATATATTGGAAACCATATTTCTCTATCCTTTCCTTTTTTTTTTTTTTTTTTTTTTTTTTTTTTTTTTTTTTTTTTTTAGTAATCTCTACACAGGGGTGGCTGGGTGGCTCAGTCAGTTAAGCATCTGACTCTTAATTTCCGCTCAGGTCATGATCTCACAGTTCATGAGTTCCAACCCCCTCATTGGGCTCCTCACTAAGAGTGCAGATTAAAGAAGTAATCTCTACACCCAACATAGGGCTCAAACCCACAATCCCGAGATTAAGAGTTGTATGCTCCACTAACTGAGCCAGCCAGGCGCCCCCATATTTCTGTATCCTAAACTATTTCCACTCGTCTGAATTTGGGGAAATCTGATGCTCAGAGACCAACTGGGGGCCCCTCCAAGAGGAGGTTCTCACTTTTTGGTTTTGATAGGGTCTGTGGCCAGAGAAGGATTATGATGTTTTTCGGATCTGAAGGTGGGTGTGGATGGGTCAAAGTCAGTCCAGAATGGGATAGGAGGCACAGGCCTCCTTTACTGTCACTGATGGAAGGATATAAATCATACTTACACCATCCTCCGGGGACCATGGTAGCAAGCAGAGTGTCTGACCACAGCCCCACTCAGACCTCTTCCTCAGACCTCTCTTGCCCTCACAGTTGTGGCCACCACAGCAGCATTGGCATCTCTGGGGTGCAGAGAATAGTCTAGATAGATTCCCTTAACACTTTATGATTATCCTCTCCCAGCTTGGAGGGGGAGGCATCTGAGGGATGGTAGAAGGGGGGGATGCTTTCTGGATTCAATGGATGGTTTCTGTCCCCAGCTTCTCCCTTCAACAGGGAGACCTCTCTCTCCCTCAGGCCACTGCAGAGGAAGTGAAAGTGGAGCCCTTAACTCTCTGAACCACATTGTGTGTGGGGTGAGGGGGCAGGGGGTTTCCTTCCTCCTGTGCCCCAGAACCCTGCCTCTCAACTTCTGAAAACCAGTCCACTTCTTTCAAGAGAGATGTGGAGTTTAAATGTCTGTTTTCCCCAGATAGGTTTCTGGGAGACCCTCTTTTTTTTTTTTTTTTTAATGTTTAGTTTTGAAAGAGAGAGAGCTTGAACAGGATAGAGAGAGGGAGACAGAGGATCTGAAGCAGGCTCTATGCTGCCAGCAGAGAGCCTGATGTGGGGTTCAAACCCACAGATAATGAGATCATGACCTGAGCTGAAGTCAGATGCTTAACCGACTGAGCCTTCCAGGCGCCCCTTTTGGAGACCCTCTTATGAAGATGGAGGAACAGAACACCAAGACACTCCTGAGAACAAAT